AGAATATTACATCAAATCCCATAATTTCAAAAATTTTATTTTTGTGACGTCATCACTTTAGGACTCTATTTGTCTCTGTGCTAACGACATTGTGTATGCTAGGTTTCAAGATTTTAGAACTTTTCTGTACGTTTTGCTGAGCATTGTTAAAGTTTTCGTGGGCTAAGAACTATGGGTAAATGTACCAGTTGCCATCTCTTTTCTTACGGAGGATTGGGAAACTGGCTCTTTTCCTGTCTTTGCTGGCTTCTTTGCTGGTGCAAAAGGCTTCACTTTACGTGGCAATGAAACACCGAATAGCTGAAATAACAGTTTAGGAAAAAAAACTGAAAGCAGAAATCACTGGGGCTGGACAGCGTGGAGAGGGTGAGGGGCTGGCGTTTATTGGCTACCACTACCGTGGATAAATGAAAATGTTATTTATTTTATTGTATTTCACGATTAGGCCATCCCCTTTTTTTCTCTGTTTAGCGTCGTCCGACCGACCCAGATTTTCGCGTTTAAAAAAAAAAACAAAAAAAGGGACACAGAAGGCAATGAAGGCAGTGACACATTATTTCAAACAATTGTGACTTTAATCTGAAACATATGCAATTTTCTGCCTTACAGATTTTTAGTTTTTCCCTGTTCTCGTTTGATTTTAACAACGACGTCGACTTTTTCCACGGCTCCACGGATATTATGCTGAGGTACCGGGCCTCGTAGCTCCAGACTCCTTTTCCAATTTTTTTTTTTCGACCGACCGACCGACCCAAAATCAGAAAACGCATTCGACAATAAACGAAAAAAAATGGGGGATGGCCTTACTTGTAATTTTTTTTTTTTTTGAAACTGAAACTGAAACTGTATTGCACACACCCAAAATGGGTCAGTTTTTCAGTGAACAATAAAATATGAATACCATAACAATACAATAAAAAATACAATAAAAATACAATGAATTAAAAAGTGTAACACTATTCTTGTTTCAAAAACTCGTTAAGCATCTTTACTGAATCGAACCTTTGCTGACAGTTTTAAATCTTAATCTAATGAATTCCATAAGTTTACCATCCTGTATTGGAATGTCCTCTGGCCAGCAGCGGTTTTACAAGGAATGTTACAAGTTTTAGTTTACAAGGAATGTTAAGTTGTTGTGAGTTTCTTGCTTTGCGGTCAGGTATCTGTCCTCTTTGATGTCAGGTAAGTCGGGGCGCAGCCCGTCATAGACTAAATGAATAGCAGAAAAGATAGCATCGCGGAGATGAAGCTGCATTTTTACGAGGAGCTACCCCAAGTTTTTGAGTGATGGAGTTATGTGTTTAAATTTCCTTGCACAAGTAGCTATCCGAGTCGCGAAGTTCTGGACGAGTTGTAATTTTTGTACATTACGGGTAGAGGTTTTAGACAAGACTGAGGAGCAGTAGTGTAACCTACTAAAAACAAGCGCATTTATGATGGTCACTAATAGGTCGGGGTTAAATGCGCGCTTTGCTCGATTAATCTGAGCCAATTTACTCATGCAAATAATAAATTACAAACTGTTCTGAGGGCTTAATATGCGCGTCTAAGTGTAAGCAATTTATGCTCGATGTCTGGAAAACGCGAACAGTGTAATATTCTACCCTGGGTATCGTTATTCATGACATGGTAATAAGTTATGGGGAATCGCTCTGGCCCTGGACAAGCCCAAGACCAGAGATCAAAGAGCTGTTAGAGCTTACTTCTGAATGCAATTTAGGGCTTTTTCCTGTTTCCATTCTTACTGATGAGAGAGAGTGCTTGAAACAAGGAGTGCGGTACATGATGGTTACACGTGTGAGTAGGTTAGATAGCAAGTGTTCTTGCACGAATATTCAGTACTCAAGCTACGCAAAAATTGGGGCAGGAGCAAAAAATTGACAAAGCTATCTACAACTCCTTATTTTTTTTTTCTTTTTTTTTTTGCTCTCCCCGTATTAGCTCGGACTTTACTCGTTTGCACTCTGCTGTGGAAACGCTTGGAAACAAAAATTGACTCTGGAAACAATGTTTCCCGT